CTAATTACTTTTGATTTCTAGAGAAATAATGGACCTCTCCTTAACTGTTACACAAAGAGACAGCCGCTACATTCGGAACCAGGTCGGTGGATGTCTATGCATTCGCCATAATGATGCACAAAGTCTTCTACCAGACAAAGCCACGTAGACTCGAAGATATTCCAGTGACGGAAATTTTAGAAAGGGCCATGAGTAGGGAAAAGCCTACTTTACATCCACAGGTATATATTTTTTGCCATCACAAAATGCCGCCAAGATGATTTGATAATATTGTGTAGGTAAGACAAACTGAGCTAATCATAGCCTTCACACGAAGCAGGCAGGTATGTCAATTAATTCAGCAGAATTCATGTCAGGTTTAAGGATAGCCCTAAGTTAATTTAGCATTTTGTCTCTGGTAAGTTAAATATGGAGGATAAAGTGTTTTCAAGGAAATTGCTGAAAATATGTCGAATTTGGTACCTAATTCATCAATGTGGCTTAGAATTAAATAATGTATGTAATGCATGTAATTGTATTGGTCAGCCCTAAGACAATATCAAGCTACACCAAACGTCATATGAGGCGAAATTCATGGCATTTCGATGGAGCACTTGTTGACGATTAAATCCTGTGAAGTACAACCATTCCGGGTTTTCATTTGAGAAATCAGACACACTGTTGCATATATACAGAGGCACTCTATTAATAGAAAACGCGCCTGTATTTCCTTTTAGAGGAATCATGTGACCTAGTGACCTCAACACCACTGATGCTCAAAAACTCTTTTTCTCAATGTGCATAGCTTCCTCTATTGACTTTTTAGGCTCAGCTTCTTCAAACAGGCATCCCACCCACTTACGCAGGCATTCTTGAACGACCTTGGTTGAAAAATTCTAGGTTAAGACTAGCATTTAGGGAACCGAATGAGGAGATCCAGCAGATGACCAAAGCAAAGTAGGATGGCTATATTTCATGCCACTTTCTCAAATATTACAAGAAAAGCGAATATAGTAGAGCAGATGTTCAAAATGATTGGGAACCACTCGAATAGGTTGGAACAACAGGTGAGTCTGCTGCCTCCTTGAGTTTTCTGCCAGTTGGATTTTTCACCAACCAAATGGAAGGGATTACTGATTTATACCGCATGATTTCTGGTCGTAAGAAATGACTGCTACAATCCTATAGTCAAATTTATTGGCGTTTAATCACCCAGCTTTGAGCTCTGCAAAATTTTTGAGTGAGAAGTTGATCATAATTTGGAATCATAGAGTTGCTGCAGAAGCATTGAAGACAGGTGTTGCAGTGGCACTTGAGACCTACGATGAGGTGTCAATCTGCATTAGCGACACCACCTCTGCAATATCCACACCATGACATGCTGTCGATCTTCTGAACGGCTTGTACACAGTTTGACAAGACGATTGCGAACTACGACGTTAACAAGGTGGGTTGGTTTGGAGGTATTTGAGTGTACCGTTTGACAAAGGTTTGATCCCTAATCAAATATTTGACGTGTAGTTTTATTGGCCTTGGTAA